ATGGGAAGGGGATTTGGAGCTGAGGGCCCTGTCTATTGTCTCCTACAGGAAATCTATGTCCTTCAGTCACAAATCTCTGATACTTCGGTGGTGGTCAAGATGGACAACAGTAGGGAACTCAACATGGACTCGGTTGTGGCCGAGATCAAGGCTCAGTATGACGACGTGGCCAACCGCAGCCGGGCCGAGGCCGAGTCCTGGTACCAAAGCAAGGTAAACCGGAGGACTGGGCTGCCCTACAAACCATGACCCTGGAGCTTCTCTGGGAAATGCACCCAGGCACTCAGAGGGGCTGTAGCTGTGGTTCCAGGTTCAGAGCTGGGAAGGAGGTGGGCTGTTGCAGAAGACTAGGCTAGCTGATCTGGGCTGGGTGGGATCAGTGACCTTCCAGCACACCCTCCAGCTACCTAGTGATTGGTAGTTTCCACGTGTTTGTCTCCTGACCCAAAGTGTGAAGAGATGAAAGCCACAGTGACCCAGCAGGGCGAGAACCTCCGCAGAACCAAGGATGAGCTCAATGACCTGAACCGCATGATCCAGAGGCTAACAGCAGAGGTGGAGAATGCCAAGCAGCAGGTGGGAGACACTGAGAACTCAGCACACCTGCCGCTTCTGACCTGCTTTCTGCTTTCCTTCTACCTCGAGGGGCTCCTGCTATCTTTGGAGAGGCTTGTATTTTAACCACCTGCATCTGAAGGACTCAGTGCACAAAACATTGTAGGAAGAGGATTGGTCTATCCATTTAAAAAAGCTTTTTTTTATTGATTTCAGAGAGGAAGGGAGAGGGAGAGAGATAGAAACATCAATGATGGGAGAGATCATTAATCGGCTGCCTCCTGTATGCCTCCCACTGGGGACTAAGCCCTCAATCCCTGCTAATTGGAATTTAAATTTTCACTTCTCTGGTTAACTAGTGACATTGAATGTCTCCTCATACACTTACTAATCATTTATAATTCTCCTGCTAAGAATTGTCTATTCATATCATCTACCCATTTTTCTATTGAAACTTCTGTCTTCTTGGCGATTTGCATTATTCTTTTGCCCATTCTCTCCAGATTGTAACCCTTAATCAGTTACACATGCCTCAATTAGTCTTCTCTCAATCTGTCACGTGTCTGCTTGCTTTGTTCTGGTGTCCTTTACTGAAAAAAAAAAATCTTTAACTTGAATGTGACCAAATCCATCACCTCTTACCTTATGGGTTATACTTATGAAAGTTTGAGGTCATAGATGTATCCTCTTACGTTTTGTCCTCTGCTGGTTGTATAGTTTTACCCCTCACAGTTAGGTCTTTAATCCATCTGGACTTTATTTTTTGTATATACAGGAAGTAGGGTTTTAATTAAAATTATCTACATACACTGTAGCAATAAACTATATCACGTAATCTATTCTTTACCCACGGGCTTGTGCTACCACCTCTATCATAACGCTGAGTTCCCGCATATACCTGGCTCAGTTCCGGTCCTCACCCTTTTGTAGGCTGTTCTCATCCTCTGTGTAAGATGTATCACAAGTAATTTGTTACTCTTAATAGTTGAAGTAATAAAATATGGGAATGGTTTACTTTTCGGAAGTGAAACTAGAGAAGAATACTTGCATTCTGATATACTTTTAAAAATATTTATTTTATTGTGGTATGAACAGCATGAGATCGACCCTTTTAAAAAATATGTAAGTGTATAACATACTGTCATTGACTAAGGTAGGTTGTTGTACCGTGGATCTCCAGAGCTTACTCATCCTGCTTAACTGAAATTTTATGTCTGAGCATTAGTGACTCCTCATTCTCCCACCCCTCCCCAGCCCTGGCAACTACCATTCACTCTTTGATTCTGAATTTGACTATTTTAGATACTTCATAAACTAGTAAGTGGAACAATGCAGTGTTTGTCTTTCTGTGTCTGGCTTGTTATACTTAGCACAATGTCCTCAAGTTTCATCCATCTTGCTGCATATTGCAGGATTTCCCCCCCCCCTTTTTTTTTAAAAAATAAAGGCTAAATGGCATCTACTTTATGTACGTACCTTATTTTCTTTATCGATTCATCTCTCCATGGACAAGTGGGTTGTCGTCACATCTTGGCTATTGTGAATAGTGCTGTGATGAACACGGAGTGCTAATAACTCTTTGAGATCCTGATTTTAATTCTTTTGGGTATATACCCAGAAGTGGAATTGCTGGATCATATGGTAGCTCTATTTTTAATTTATTGAGGAACCTCCATACTATTTTCATAGCAGCTGCACAATTTTGCATTCCCACTAATGGTGTGCAAAGGGTTCCAGTTTCTCCACATCCTCAATAACACTTGTCTTGTTTTTTTAAATAATAGCCATCCTGACAGGTGTGAAGTGATCCTCATAGTTTGATTTGCATTTCTATGATGATAAGTGGTTTTTTTTGTTGTTGTTTTTGGTTTGTTTTTTATATACCTGAGGGCCATTTGTGTTTTCTTTGGAGAAATGTCTATTCATGTCCTTAACCCATTTTTACAACTGGGTAATTAGGTTGATTTGTTGTTTTTCTGAGTGGTGAGTTGTAGGAGTTCCTTCTGCTTTCTTAGGAGGGTAGAGGAAGAAGCTGTAGTTAGTGTGCTGGGCATTGTAAATGGGAACTTCTTTCAGCATGCTCATCTCAAAGAATGAGACCTGCACAGTGGTCTCTCAAAACCTGGGGTTGGCACTAACTAATTGGGTAGCTTAGGGCAAGTCACAGCCTCTCTGAATCTCATAATGAGTTCCTGCATAATGGAATAGCAAGGCCCATTCTGACAAGCTGACAGAGTAACTAAAGGTCAAATAAGATAACAACTGTGAAAGCACCTTGTAAACTAATGACAGTAAATGAATATAAGATAATATTACTAATTATCAGTCCTATTTTAGTGCTAACATTTCCTCCCTCTAATGGCTCTCCATGGATTTGAGTTTTACAATAAAGTGGTACAAAAATAAAGGAAGAAAGCTCTAAATGGCTATTATTTCCCTTCCTGGCTAATTAAAAATTTGTCCATTTTGAATGGAGGCAAAATAGGATGACCAAGGTGTGGGAGACCCACCAGGGTCCCCCCCACAGCCTGCACCTTTCTCAAACTCTTTCACTCCTTTCCTTCCCCCAGCGCCGCAAGCTGGAGGCTGCTGTGGCCCAGGTGGAGCAGCAGGGCGATGTGGCTGTCAATGATGCCCGCTGCAAGCTGGCTGAGCTGGAGGCCGCCCTGCAGAAGGCCAAGCAGGACATGGCCTGCCTGCTCAAGGAGTACCAGGAGGTGATGAACTCCAAGCTGGGCCTGGATGTGGAGATCGCCACTTATCGCAAACTGCTGGAAGGGGAGGAGAGCCGGTGAGTATGGGCTCGGGGTCACTTCACATCTCCACTTAGGCTGGGAGAGTGCCTCACTAGACTACAATCCTCCAGGCTGCTCAAACAGGGAAATACTCTAGAGATCATGGGGTCCAGACACTTCCCCATTTTAAACATAGAGAAACTGAGGCCCAAAGAGGGGAAAGGGCTGGTCCAAGACCACAGCTACTTAGTGGTTAAGCTAAAATGGTACCAGGCTGTGCTGACTTTGAACCAAGAACTGGGGGCAGGTGAAGTCTGCTTTACACCTGGGATGGTGCATGGGCCTCTAGCCTTGAGGTAATCACATCATTACTGCCTCCTAGCTGGGTCCACTGGAAGGAGGAACAGGCTGCACTGGGGAGGAGAGTATACAAGGTTAAGATCACAGGCTGTGAGCCAGATCTCCTGGGTTCAAATCCTAGCTCTAACACTTACTAGCTATGAACCCCCAGGCCTCATCTGTAAAACAGGTAATCATAAAACCCACCACTTAAGGCTGTTGCATGGATTGAGGTAATGGAACATAGTAAGCACAAGTAGTGCTAGTTATTAGAATAAGAATATCTCTATCCAGGGTAGCCAGGCAGGGCTGCACCCCCACAGAGGCTCCTTATTAACATGGTCATTGTTAGAAATCTGACATGAGTGGCACCCAAGGCTGCTGGCCACGCTGCTGGATTTGGATTTGCACCGTGCTTGATCCAGCAGGTAAACTTTTCTGTCCGTTTCCTCAGGACTTTAGGTGAAGCCACTAGAGCTACCTCCTCCTTTGCACTGTTAACACAACCCATTCACCAGCATTCTGTGGAGCACTTGGCATTTGCAGTGACACTTTCATTACGATAGTAATCATTAATGTATTAGGTGTTAATAACTCAATCATATTATGAATAATGTGCTGCTTCCCAACACACAAGATTTTAAAAGGTGGTTTAGTGTATTCTTTGCATATTGAGGCCATTGACCTTTTAATAGACTGGTGCTGTCTGCAGTGGGTGGGCAGATGCCCCCAGCCCCTGCTTCAGGATGGATAATAGGTCTGCTGCAAGGGCAGGGAGCTCAGTTCTAATTCTCACTCTCTCCTCTCCCCTGCAGGCTGTGTGAAGGCATGAGCTCAGTCAACATCTGTAAGTTGGGGTTGTGTGTGGGCATGGTTCTTTTGGGTGTCAATAGTCTTAATATTAGGTTGCACCTAAATAGTGACCGAACCTCTGTCTGTGGGGCACAGGGAACGGTGGTAGTGGCTAAGGTCTCTGGGATCTGGACAAATTGATGGTCCAAAATATTTGAACCATACATGGATCCATCTGGAACATATGTTTGGTTCTACAAAAATAGCCTAAGTCTTGCAATTAAACACAGAATACTTTTCAAGTGGTACAATGTTTTAATAAGAAGAAACACTAGATGTCTATTCGATCATTTGGAACCACTACAGGCAATTCTCAAATCTTTCTGTTTAATAATCCAATGTGTACACAGAACCTAGTCTACGTGTCTATCTGTTCTCCTCATCTTTCCAACAACCATCTTTCTAGATGATTCCTCCACTGTGATCCATCAGATTTTGCTCAAAAATTGAATAAACACATCTCAACATTAGTTTGGTTCAAATAGAGTTAGGTGTCCAATTTGCTAACCCAGTTCCTTCAAGAAGCAAATGGCAGCGGGTTTAAAAGATTCATGTTGCTGGTCCCTTGGAGTGTGAAGAGAGTTAATTATTGGTTCAAAAAAATTTTGGGGTCACACCATTTCTGGGATAACAGAATTCTGACCTGGTGTCTCCATTCACAGGTGTGAGCCGTTCCCAGGGCGGTGTGGTCTGCGGAGACCTCAATGCCACCCTCCCTCAAGGCCTGGGGGGCATGACCCTCAGCAGCAGCGCCCTCTGCCCGCCTTCTGTAACAGGGGCATGTTCCAGCGCCAGATCTGTGCGGTTTGCATAGCTGGGGGTGGAGGCTGGGACTTTGGATGGACTAGGTCTGATAGGGGCAAGTGTGGGGAGCAGGAGGAGGAAATCTTTTTTCTCTCTGGCCCAAATGTCAGTTTGGTGATTTCCCCTGACTGGGAACCCAGACTAACTCTCCAGTTTCTTTCCTATCAGAGTTGAGATTTACTCTGAGTGCAAATCCTGGGTTTGGCATTATTACCATTTCCATTGATTCCTTCCTCCTTGTGGTCCAGGAAAGGGACTTATAGGCTTTTTGATATATACTGCTTAGTCACCCCCCCCCACCCCACTCCACTATCCCACCCCAACTAACTTCAGGTTAGCAGACATCTCCTAAGTACTGACCATGTGCCAGGCCCTCTGGGAAGGGAGCCAGGTAGAGGGATGGCAGTGTGTGGGCAGCCACTGGGCTTTGCCCTTAATAAGGGACTGGTCATGTCTCCTCAGTGTTGAGGGGTCCATGGGGGGAGAGCAACTGGGGCTCTGGGAGACCCTCACTTGATCTGAGAGATTGTATGTTCCCAGAGTGTCCTCCAACTATTCATATGTCAGGATGGAAAGATGGGCTGAGGCTAATTGGCTGAGATTTTTATTGTTGGTGGTTTGGATTTTATTGTATTTGGGTGATTCATGATATGGTTCCTTCTGTCTTTTAATGCGTGTGATTAAACGTGGAAAGCTAAATGCTTTCTGCTAGCAACCACGTTAATTCTTTCTTCTTACTCTCCTCCCCTCCCCACATTCCAGATTGTTTTCGTGTTTCTTCAAGTGTGGTCCTCAGACCACAACCTATATCAGGGTCTGAGGGCGGGGGGGGGGGAGGCAGAGATGAGCCCAGAACTCTGAATTAAACATGCTCCCAGGTGACTCCTGTAAGAACCAAAGTTGAGAACTGCTGGTTCATGTGGGCCGAGGGAATAGAGGTCAGGTCATTCTGACTGTGGAGGTGACTTTCCTCCAGGTTCTCACAGGGTCAGGCTTGTCTCTGCATTTCTCTTCTGCCAGCCAGGCTAGGACAGCAGGCTGGGCGTGGTGGAGATAAAGGTAGAAAAGGGGAGAGATGGGAGCTTGTTCACAGCAGCCGCTAAACACCTCACGTATGTCATTCAATCGTTGTCACAGCAGCCGTATTATTATCTTCATTTTACAGATAAGAAAATTAAGGCCCAAAGGAGTTAAGTAGCTTTACTAAGGTCACACAGGTAGGCCAGGATGCAAGCAGAGGTCTAGATAATGCCAAAGTTTCCCAAGACTTTCCATTATCTTACCTAATTTTTCCCACAGGCTAACCTCTTGGCACATCAGAATGCTCCTGGACAGGAAGGAGGTTCTAACGGATCCTGCCTTACTAATCTGACATTGCAGAGATAAGAGATGGAAGGTGACATAAAGGAACTTCCTGGAAGCATTTTTAGGAACATCTCCCCATAGCCTCTGCTCTCCAAGAATCTCAGACAGGTCTTATTATGGCATGCTTAATACAGGCCGCCTATGTGGGAACCCAGAATTAAAACTCAGACTTCTGGTTGGAGGGCATTTCCCCCAGTGGCCTGGATGGGGGCATTGATTGGGGAAACTCAGTCTCTGACCTATTCCTGAAATGACAGTCCCTAAGAGGTGTCACCTGGGAAAGTCTGTTTAGAGTCCCTTCTGATGCAAGGGTGTCCCTCCAGATGTGATGAGGTGGAGAGAGGGGTTTCTAAGGGGCAAGTTTATTTCACTTGTTTTATAGGAAAAATTCTACTTCTCCCAGCTTATTTGATTTGGGATTAAAAAACAAGATTAAAAAATGACCTGAATGGGTACAAGATATTTTGCCATAAGTATATATAATTGATCTCAAGACATGGAGAAACCTTTGAGCTGTTCTCCCTGGCAATGCAGTTCTTCTGATGCCTCCTGAATGTGTCCCCAGGGAGCACATTGGTCCTTTGGACCTTGGGATGACCAAGATTTCTCTTAGGATAGTGGTCCCCTAGTCTCTGCTTCCTAGACTCAGAGGGTCTGCACTCTGGGCACATCATGGTCTGGATCCCACCAAGGGGTAAATCAGGTTCAAAGGGCTTTCAGGTCTTCTGTGAGGAGGGAAATGCATCCCACCAGGCACCTGCTGCCCCAGGGAGGGATTGTGGGAAGCACAGGGGAGGAGGTGCCTTTTCTTTTGATGGTGCTGGGGAAGGATGTGTATATACATATGTGTGCCTCTGCTGTTTCCTCCAGTTTTTAATGCAAAAGCTCGTCCTCTGAGTGCTGCCTCCACCTCTCTCCATCCTCTGGCTACTTACCTCCCACCATCATTGTGCAATAGCACCAAGGGAACAAGAGCGGGCTTGTTGCGGGGGAGGGGGGGTCCCTTTGTTTTCGAACAAAGCAGAAATAGGCGGGGATTTCGGGGGGGTGGGCAGGAAAGTGGTGTGAGGCAGTTGTGGGCTAACCCTCTCCCACTGCAGGCCCTCCACACAAAGAGGGCAGAATTTGGTGCTGGTGTCTTCATTGCTCTAATTTTCAGTGAACAGAACACTCAATTCTGTCTCCTCTAATGTCCACATTCCTGAGAGTGGCTGTGGTGTGATGCGGGGAATTCCCAGCTGGTCATTTCCTGTGCACATGTGCATTGCAAAGCAATTTCCTTGATCTGTGGTTAATTTGAGTTTCTCACTGTGCTTGGCTCCGGTGAGTAATGACACCAATCTGTGCTTCCTGAGATCCCAAAGATTGAAGCAGGGGAAGTTGGAGGCACTGGGGCTGGGGGCCGGAGCCAGTTGAGAGTAAGTGTTGGTGACAGCGGTCCAAAGTGGAGGCAACTTGAGACTTGGCTAGGAGTGCTGGTTGCCTCAGAGTTTGACTCCAAAGCAAGCCCAAACCTCCCCAAGTTTTTGAAAGAACTGTACTGCATACCTCTTCATGTTTTGGGGACCCTGTGTACTGTTGGGGGCAAACGGAATATTTGAAATAAAGTAGAAAACAGACAGAAGATCTGATTTTCTTTGACGGAGGTCTTAGCTTGGTCTGTGGAGTTTCACAGGAAAGGGGAGCCCAGGAAAGAGCACCGGAATCACCCACATGGGACCATCTTTATCATTTAGGCCACCTGCTCTTCTGACTTCCCTGAACTCCTGATTCCAGACCACTTGGCCTCTCCTTTAAATTTGTTTTCTTCTAATAAAACTTTAGTTCGTATTACCCTTGAATTGCACCCTTTGCTTTCCACGGGGAATGGCTCTTTTATCAGGAGAGACTGGGGGAGCCCCGAATTCTTGAACCAGAGGAGTTTGCTCTGCATTTTTCTGTTGGCTGCAAGGAGGGCTGTGGGAGAAGTTCCATCTTCGAACCAATGGTGCCTCTGGCTGACGATCTGATCGGTGGACTGGTCTTTGCACACAAAGCATGGAAACTTATTAAAAGCTTATTACTATCTCTAAGCTCCTGGCTGTTCAGCTTTTTAAAACATGGTGCCATATCTGGGGGTGTGCATTTGGCATTTTAGTTATTCTTGGCCAGACCCATGGTACATCAAGGTGTTTTCCCCAATCACAGACTTACGCCAGCACCCAGGACCACAGAAGGTGACAGGGCTGGAAAGGGGCCCCAGGTCCACAGGCTGATGGCCAGCGCATGGAGGCCACTTCTTGCCAAAGGTGTCCCTCAGACATGGCAGAGTTAATGTTCAAATTTTGATCTCCTGACTTCTCAGCCCCTGAGATTTACCATTTCCTGTGGATGAATGAGATGCCCCAAACTGAACGTTGGCCTCTTGTGACTATGACCATGACCTCAGGGCCCAGACAGGTGGGAGAAAGGAGGGAAACAGGTGTCAGTTGAGCACCCGGAAGAGGCCACTGCCTCCTGTGAAGTTGCAACCCTTTGGGCCTGAAGTGAGGATTCATAAAGATGACTTAACTTCTCCGAAGGAAAGGCTGGGGGATGGGGCAGCAGAGGGGGGCTGGCAGGTGAACACCTGTGTGGAATAGTGTCTTGGACCCACCTCCAATGGATAAATGGAGATGAATCCAAGAGAGTTGTTGTCTACAACTCCTGTTCTACCAGCTGCCTGCGTTCATCCAACCACCCCAGGCCTGACATGGCCCGGAGCCACATCTTAGGACAAGTTGGGTGTCAGAGCCAGGAGGAGACACCTCCTGCCCTCAAGGAACTTCCAGCTTGATTCAGGCTCCAGGCACATCCAATGACATCCTGGCTCCAAGCCACAAAGACAAAAACCAGAGATCCTCAGGGTTTTGGACACTGTGGTTCAGGGGGAGGGGGATGTGTGCGTGTGAAAGGGGGGGTGGGGAGGGGAAGTACAGAGAGCAATGAGCAACGGCAAATGGGAGGAGGGGTGTGGGGTGGCCTATGTGTCCATGTGGGACAGTCCTTGGCGGCCTCAGAGGGTAGATCTGTCTCCATTAGGTGGAGCCCTCATCTAGGAAGATCAGCACTGGGTGAGCTGAGAAGCAGGTGGAAAAAGAGGAGATGGAGGGAGCCTGTGTTTGGCATAAGGAGCCCACAGGTGGGCTGGGAACTGGTTTGAACCAGGTGGGTGGGGGTGAGAGTGATGAGGTTGGGATAGGACTGGCTGCTGGGGGTATGTGGGGTATGGTCAAGAAGAAAGAGGTCATGGGGGGAGCTGGAGCTGTGGTCCAGACCGTGGAGTACTGAGTTGGAATCAGGCTATGGAGGAAGAGGCAGAATCACTGCGGAATTGGGGAAACGCTGCATGGGTGGGGGTGGGGCTGGAAAGGTTTGGCCAGCAGGAGATGGGGAAGAGGGAGCTGAGAGTCGGAATGCTGGAGGGGGCGCACACTGTGTTCACAAGATCACATATCCTTGCATCGCAGCAGCATTTATTGAAACACCGATTGAGATAACCCAGAAGGCAAGCCACCCATAAACAGTCGTAACAAGCCAGGGACCCAGGAAGTGGCCTAACCTTCTCCATCCCACCTGCTGCGAGTTGGACAGACCCCTCCTGCGTGGGCAGAGGGAGATCTGGAG